ACAAAACGGTGTGGCAGAGAGGAAGAATAGAACCATTCTCAATATGGTTTGTAGTTTGTTGGCTCGGGGAAGAGTTCCAAAGGAATTTTGTCCAGAAGCAGTGAATTGGAGCATTCACATCTCAAATAAATGTCCCACTTTTGCTCTTCGAGATGTTACACCTGAGGAAGCTTGGAGCGGAAGCAACCCGGCAATAGACCACTTTAAAATTTTTGGGTCCATTGCTTATGCACATGTCCCCGAAGTAAAAAGAAAGAAGCTTGACGATAGAGGTGAGACATGTGTTTTTCTTGGTGTTAGCGACATATCCAAGGCGTACAAGTTGTTCAATCCTTTGACAAAGAAAGTTATGACCAGCAGAGATGTCGTTTTTTATGAAGAAGACACTTGGGAATGGAGTATCGAGAAGTCCACTCCAATTGTGTTTTATACTGGAGCCGAAGAAGTAGTTGTGATGCCTGAAAGTGCAGAGAATTCAGCTTTTACAACTGCTGGAATTCTACCAGATGTTGCTGAAATTTCACCAACTACTGAAACTGTACCAGCAACTTTAGAAGAAACTGATGCAGCTGAACAAACTCTTCGTCGTGCTCGCAGAAGGCCCGCGTGGATGACGGATTATAAGGTAACACGAATTGATGTTAATGAAGATGTTTCCCATTTTGCATTGTTTGCAAATTGCAATCCTATAACTTTTGAGAATGCTGTCAAAGAGGAGAAATGGAGGAAAGCTATGGATGATGAGATTGATGCTATTGAAAGAAATGAAACCTGGGAGTTATCAGATCTTCCGAATGGGCAGAAAACCATTGGTGTCAAGTGGGTCTATAAGACAAAACTGAAAGAAGATGGTGAAATTTACAAGTGTAAGGCGCGATTGGTGGATAAGGGATACAAGCAGGAGCATGGTGTGGACTACAGTGAAGTGTTTGCTCCAGTCGCATGGCATGACACCATTAGAATGGTAATTGCCTTGGCGGCACAAAATTCATGGCCTATCTTTCAATTGGATGTCAAATCAGCTTTCCTACATGGATACTTGGAGGAAGAGGTATTTATTGAGCAATCCTCTGGTTATATTAAAATTGGAGATGAGCATAAGGTATACAAGTTGAAAAAGGCTCTCTACGAACTAAAACAAGCTCCACGAGCTTGGTATAGTCGCATTGAGGCTTACTTTCTAAAAGTTGGTTTCCTGAAATGTCCATACGAGCACTCTCTTTTTGTTAAAATTGGAGAATCTGGGAAAATGCTCATTGTATTTTTATATGTTGATGATCTTATATTTACCGAGATGATAGTACCATGTTTTCTGATTTTAAGAAATCTATGATGGATGAATTTGATATGTTTGATCTTGGTAAGATGCATTATTTTCTTGGTTTAGAAGTAGTGCAATTTGATGATGGTATATTTGTTTCCCAAAAGAAATATGTGCGGGAAATTTTAAACCAATTCAAGATGAAGAAATGTATTTCCGCCGATACTCCAGTTGAGTTTGGCCTGAAGCTAAGCAAAGCTGGAAGAGGAGATAAGATAGACAAGACACTCTATAGGCAAATTATAGGTAGTTTGATGTATCTAACTTCCACAAGGCCCGACATCATGTATGGTGTAAGTCTTATAAGCAGGTATATGGAGAGTCTGGTGGAAATTCACCTGTTAGCTACCAAGAGAATCCGTCGTTACATACAAGGAACTAAGGATTTCGGTTTGTTCTACAAGAATGGTGAAAAATATGATTTGATTGGTTTTGCTGATAGCGATTATGCAGGTGATCAAGACGACAGAAAGAGCACTTCAAGCTATGTTTTTGTGTTAGGCACAAGGGTTGTTTCATGGTCTTCCAGGAAGCAAAAAATTGTCACTTTATCGACTACTGAAGCGGAATTTGTTGTTGCTACAGCCTGTGCTTGTCAAGCTATTTGGTTGAGAAAATTCTTGAAGAACTACAATTCAAACAAAAAGGAGCAACTATAATTTTCTGCGACAACAACTCTGCCATTAAGCTATCAAAAAATCCTGTTTACATGGAAGAAGCAAGCACATCGATGTGAAGTATTATTTCCTGCGAGATCTCAATAACGAAGGAACAGTAGAACTGCAGTACAGCCGAAGTGAAGATCAGTCGGCGGACATTTTTACTGAACCTCTCAGGTCTCTTCTTTTCCAAAAGTCGAGGAGGTTGATGGGCATCAACACAATGGAAGAGTTCAAGAAGCTGAAGTTAAACTGAAGCTTGAGTAAGACTGGTCAACGGAACGGGACGTACCAGTACCGTTTCGGTTCGTTCCGGTTCGTCCCGTTTCGGTTGCCTACGGAATGGGACGGGATAGTCTGAACTGGTACATGAAACGGGACGGAATTGTAATTTCGTACCGGTGTACCGGTACCGGTTCATTCCGATTCCAGTCTGGTCCGATCCGGTTCCGGTCTGGTTTATTTAATATATATTAATTTTTTTATATTTTATATTTTATATTTTATATTTTATATAATTAATATTTATATATTTAATAAATTATATTTTATATTTCTTGGCACGAGGCAGTTGCCCTGCTGCCCGCCCCTCGCCCCTAGAGGGTGGCTGCGTAAGCTATGTACTCTACTGATAGTTGTAAATTGAAATTGTAATTTGTTACAAATTTCAATAAATTAAATTGATATTTTTTAATTTTTGTAATTGTTTTATCCTTATTTTAATTTAATTTTTTTAAAATTACAAATTTTATTTATTTAATATTTACAAAATACAAGTTATAAATATAACTTATAAATTAAATATTAATGAATATAAGTAATAACTTATAAATTATAAACCTCAAAAGATTTAAATTTGAAAACTTTATTAGACTTTACTTCCATACTTAACAACAACAAAAAAATTAATAAAATATCTCTAAAATAAACTTAAGTAAAAAATTATAGTATAAATTTAAAAACTATTAATTGATACTTTAAAAAATAAATAAAAAAATTATATTTTCATAATTCCAAAAAGTATTGTCCCGTTTATCCCGTCCCGTTCCATCTCGGTCCGTTCCGGTTCATTCCGGTTCCATCCCGGTATATAGTGGAACAGGACGGAACCGATGAATAATCCCGGTAATTCCGGTCCGATTCATCCCGGTACCAGTCAACATACCAGTCAACGGGTTCCGGTCCAGTCCGGTACCGGTTCATTCCGGTCCGGTGAATCGGTTCCGGTCCGTTGACCAGTCTTAAGCTTGAGAGCTTTTAGTTTAAGGGAGGGTGTTAGTTTTAATAATTTAGTTTAGTAAATTAGAGTTATGTTAGAGAATAAATTCTTATCTGTTTTGTTTGTGCTAGTCTATAGGAAGTAGTTTAAACGTGGGTTGTTACCTAGGTTTTAGGAGAAAATCTTGTTGGATAGTTACTATATTTTAGCTTAACGTTTACTATGTTTTTGCTTATTAGAATGACTGCATCACAATTATTTTTTCCAGTCAATAAAAATAATTCTTTTTTCTATCAGTCCTCTCTTCTTGTCTATTGTGTTTTTCTCACTAAACAATGGAATTTGTTTCTTTCCTATCAAATACAAGAAATTACCAAAGGATTTTCTCATCATCTCCACATTGTGTTGATGTATTTCAGAAACAAAAATCTCGAGAACTTTCCTGATAATATATCTGCTCAAAATGTTGATGTGGCAATAGAGTTCTTGTTGGTTTTCCTTGATGCTAATGTGTCAAATCATGTTATTAATGGTAATTGGTTGAATGAGGTTATGGAAAAGGTTGGAACTATAGCGGGTGATGTACTATATGTAATTCAAAAGCTTCATCCTAGCTCTCTATATAAACAAATTAAGATGACACTAGCAAAATAAGTATTTGCTCAATACAGATATTGGAGAATACTAAAGATCTAAAAGCACAAGTGAAGACTTACTACAAAGCCTTAAAATATACTGCATCTCAGTTCCCACCTTTGGTGGATTGAGCTTTCTAGATTCTCTTTAAAGGAAACTGAGTGAGATGTCGAAATCTAAATTTGGTTTAGATTTCTTGATGAAACCTCTTTTGAGTGATTTGGAGAAAGAGTTGTCATCTCTTACATCCATTTTAAAGGAGGAGTTGTCATCTATTTTCAGAGATGTCGCAACGGTGCACTATGAACATAAAATTCTTAAAGATATTCAGAGACATACGATACCATCAATTCGGCATATGAAGTTGATTGACTCTATCCTTGCTCAGTATAATGCTTTTTTTTTGGCATATTTTTTGCTCACTTTCTACAATCTTAAAAGAGATGAAGCAAATTAATGTGGAGGTGACTAAGATGTGGTCGTTGGACGTTTCTCTTAAGCGTAGCTCCATCTAAGCATCTGCTAACTCGACATAGCAATCTAGTGATTGATGATCGAAGAGATTATCAAAAAAAGGAAAATGGAAGAATATTGGTGGAATGAAGTGAAAGATGCTTTATTTAACTATCGGAAGAATATAGTTGGATGACTATGTTTATGAGTTTTGATTACATACCCAATTATTTATGCATAGGGGAAGACTTTGTGCAGAACATTGAATCTGCTGAAAATTACTTGATGAATCAAATTAGCAGTAACATGGTGTTACAGTGAAAAGCTTTCTAAGTTTGTATCTATGGGCTCCAAAACACGGAAGCCTTTCCACCAACACTTGAGGTCACTGATAACGACCAATCCAGGAAAATCTACTCATGGGATTTCCTTTTGGCAGGTTAGTTAATTGAGGTCTTGGATTTGAGTTCTCAATCGTTTGTCTTCATCAGCTAGGTTCAAACCACTAAATCACCTAACATACCTTGCAGTTAACACATATAAGTTTGATTTTCATGCTGAATCACTGACAATGACCAATCCAGGAAAACCTATTTGATGCTTGCTTTCCCTTAATTGCTCTCAAACTAATGAAGATTTGTTTGAATTTGACAAGTGCATCAAAAGCATAGACAGACTATTGTGCAGCTAGCTGAAAAACCAATGCGGCATGCATCCTCAAAGACTTATGTAGCTTAATATGAAATGATATGTACAAAAGCCATTTATATTGTTTACAACTCTTCAAAAATGTTGGATTTCACATAGTTCATTTTTGGAAGATCCGACATGGGTGGAACAATTATTTTGGGGAGTTTGAGCATCATGGGAAACTAAGATATACCCAAATCACCTGTCAAACCCCTAATCAGCTCTCCAGGAGGACAATGGCAGAGTCTCTGAAATTAATCCAAGTTGACGACAATGTTGATAGTATATGTTATAGACACACAAATAATATGACAGAATTAGACAAACCCTGAAGCAATATATCGTTAGCACATTCATTATGTTTAGAACGATATTTGAATTATTAGAGAGTCTCACCTAGCTTCAAATACTACAACTTACCTTTGAGTGGTCCACCATTGTATCCGAGCTACACTTGCCTTCAAATTATGGGGACTCGTTTAGAAAGCATGATATCTTTCATTACAGGACTACCAAGCTTGGACTATCTCCAATCATGGGAGTCGCTGTTAAGTGATGTTCACAACAGAGATTAGTGCCTTGGAGATATTACTTTCCATAAGCTTTAGTTCTTGAAACTAGTGAACTTATGGATTTCAAGTTGGGATGCCTCTAAAGAATCCTTTCCCCTGCTTGAAACACTTGTTATAAAAGTGTGCAGTCAGTTCAAGGAGATCCCCCTTAGCTTTGCAAATATTCCAACACTGAAACAAATTAAGTTAAAGTAGTGGAGTACCATATTTGGTATAATTATCCGCCTTAACCATGAAATGCACCAATAGAACATAGCCATGGAAAGGAGTTTGAATAAAGCAGTATCATAGTATTATTAGCACTCTACTTCCAATTATCAGAAGAATATCAAGAAATGGCTCCAAAAGGTACACTATTGAATATTGATGGCCTTCGTACAGATTTGGTACTTTGGGCACTTGGGTTGGCTTTGAATGAGCACACATGCTGTCTCCTAGCACTGCACTTTGCTGTTTTGCTTTTGTTTTATATAAAGGCCACATTAGTTTTGCCTCCGGTAATTATATTATGTACCTACTACCTCCCACTAGCATAGGTATTTGTTATTCTGTCTACAAACATTTATGCAAATGGGAAATTTCTAGCCTTTCTTTGTTTGTACTGAACTTGAGTGTAATCTCATATGATCATTACTCAGTTCATTGATGACAAGAACACGGTGACAGATCGCAATTGCAAGCAAGAAGTGGAAAGGGTATCCAATCTTAATTCTAGAATTGACTTCTTTCAACTCAATCATCATTCTACATTGTTCCTTTGCGCACTATGGTAGTATTTACCAGCAATCTTTTCTACTTGAACCTAATCAAGTAGAAGATAATGCTGATCAATCAAACGTCATAAGCGGTATCAGAGAGGGTATGTTGCCTAAATGTCCAGTTGATACCTTGCTTTGCAGATTGAAATAAATATGTTGTGGACCAAATTGACCTATAAAAGGGGAGAAAAGAGCTATATGATGAAAAGTTGTGTAGAGAGATTCTGTTCTTTTCGCACATGCTAATGATTCCTTTTGTTCCTTCTGGCTAACAATCAATATATGAATGTGCCTTGTCAAATCAAACAGAGAGAAACCAAAAAAAAAAAGCATAACAAATATTCAAACTTTTGGCTTTCTATGAACAAATTTGCAGTTTCCAGAGTGCTGATCCAGATTAATCAAGCAGTAGCAGTGTTGCTGGCTGTTCAAGATCATGGTTTGATATTTAATCTACATGACTAGCTGGCCATAGTAACAAGACCTCCATCTTACCATTGACATCTGACAACGCAACTGTAAATTATTACGAATAGCTTATAATCACCGGAAAAAAAACATATCATGTGGAATAAGTATGGAAGCACCTACTCAAGTTGACCATCACATGAAATTTATGAACTCTGCTTTACTCATCCAAAGAATTAATATCTCAGATGTAACTCAACTAATAATTCTTTTCACAGAAAGTCACTCAGCTTAGCCGAGGAATTGGGAATAGAGCGAAGGAAGGGCACCCTGTGTCCAGAACTACTAGGAGGGGAGGGAGAACCTTATCTCATTACTCACTTTAGTCATGGAGATTTTTAGCGTAGAAAGTCATTAAACTATTTGTTCTTTTGACAAAAAGTCACTCGATTTTCTTTTATAACCTCAAAGTCACACCTAACCAATTGGCACCGAACATAAAAAGTTAATACCTTGACTCCACCATTTAGCCAAACATATGCAATTTTCTTAAGAAGACAAGTTCAAAGCAAATTCAAAGATTGGATAAATGGAACCGTTTCCAAATACAGGTTTGGATTGAAAAGAAAACAAACTCAAAATTTTAAAATGAAGAATGACATCAATTCTACTAGCACATCTTTGTGCAATTGAAAGCTATATCAATCTTGCGTATATGATTTTATAAAAAATAACCTGAAATCACCTACATATTTTTCCCTTTTGAAAACAAACAGATACTGCAAATTAACCAACCTCCTCAGCAGCAACAGCACGAGTAGTAGCAATAGCAGGAGCAGGAGGAGGAAGAGTTGGTTGGCTCAATCCAGTTTCCACATCCCCTGCTGCTGCTGCTGCCGTTGTGTTCTGTTCCAGCAACGATTGTCGGCATGTTGGACATGAAGAATGTAAAGCCAACCAAATATCTATACACTTGACATGAAATCCATGGTGACATTTAGGCAAAACTCTCACTTTTTCACCATCAACGAATTCTCCGAGGCAAATGGGACAATCAGTTGCCGGAATATTAACTCCTGATCCATAAACAGAGAGAGGAAGTTGCCTGAGTGTGCTCTTTTTCAGCCCTGTTGCAGCTAATCGCGCAGTTTCTGACTCGAAAGCAAATCTCCTACTGCAACGTAACGCACATCTCACAATCGAATTCAATCCAAGAGCACATATTAATGCACAAAGCAGAGCAGCTAGTATAATCACCATGTTTGTATCGAAATTCGCTTCGTTTGAGTAACCATGGTGAGGTAACGGTTTGCTTATTGGTGGAACTACAGGATGTGGATCAACAAGTAGCCTATAAGGACGATGATAAACCTCCATGATCTTCAAATTCGTAATCTTTTAGATTTTTGCACTACAACAATTACAACTTGACTAAACCAATTCTAGTTTAAATCAAGTAGAGTATTACTCAACTCCGCACAACATAAAAATAAACACACTTACAAAATAAAACATAAAATATTAAAAAATTCAAGCGATTATTATAAATTCACGAATTAAAAATGCCATGACAAGTGGTGGGAAGCTATGTGTTTGTTTATCTTTATAAGAGTAGTAGTAAAGAAGAGATGTGATGATAAATAGAGATTTAATTGTCACCTGAAAAATTTAGGAATTCTAATTGAGAAACAGTTTTCTTTTTTGGAAAGCAAAAGGTTCCTTAATTAATTGAGACAAGACAGTATAATTACATCTGTTTCAACTAGTATACTATATAGTAATAATAATATACAATAAATAAAGTTCAATAGTATTACATTTTGCAAAAAGAATTTCAAGTTTTCATATTTTTTTTTATATATAAGACATTTAATTAAAAGAAAAATAGAGGGGAAAAAAGGTGTGAAAGTGGGGCAGGGGCTGTTAATGTGGATTATGGTACCTGATCCTTTCTAATCGCAAATTTGCTTCACACACGATAAAATATGTTTATAATGCTTATTCTCAGCACCAAACCTTACTTTAAAATTCATAGCATCTGCATGTCACCCTTACTTTTATAATTTTAATCCACTTCCCTATCTTTTTAATATTCAGATCAAAACTCAAGGAAAAAAATAAAATAATTTTTTTTACCTTATTGTCTGTCTTTTTCTTCTTTTCCCATTTTTTCCCCAACATCAGCAAAGTTTTCTTTTTTTTAAAAAAAAAAGAAAGCTTTTTATCCTCATTTGAAAATAGTGATGGCCAATTCCCCTTTCTATAACAATAAAATAAAAATAAAAAGAAATGCAAACTAGTGTACAAACAAATTAGTGCTTAAAAAAATGTTTTGATAACAAAGGAAAGTACTTTAAAGATGCTGTTAATCTTGACTTGGCAAATCAATATTTCAAAGTTAAATTGACTTCCACCTCATTAATATGTTGAATGACATGCCACATATTAGAGATTATGGATTTGAATTTATGATATAAATTTTTTTTGACAGAAAGTGTTTCCTTTTAAATTGATTTTATGTAAATTTGAAATAATCAAACTTTTAATATGAATAATAGATATTCGGTGAAAATAATAAAAAATATATATATACGTTGAATGACACAAGGTACATAATACCAAGGATCGACAAGTGTGTCTTCTTTTTATCGACATTCAGATTATTATTTTATTTTTTTAAAGTATCTCTTTTATTCGTAAGAAAAAGAATGCTCTGGTTGAATGAATTAATAAGCAGTTTTACTTGTCCAAGTAAATTAAAACATAACGTTTGATTTGTCTTGTTTGTTAGGCTGCTAGTGGTACACAATGGGACACCCTCTTGTTGTTTTGAGCACATATCAATGGCTTTTCATGTTAATCTTCTTTAAAACTTTGAAAAGGATATTTTAGAAGATCTTAAATGAGAAGATATTAACGTGGATCAATATATTGAGATTGAAGATTTATTTATCCAATTTATATATCCACCGAAGGATGAGAGCAATCCCTACCATCAACATAGGTTTGTGAAATTGTGGGGATACGGTTTTATTTTTATCAAAGATTTTGAGTTTGATTTTAGATATAAAGAGAATTTTGTTAGGAGCGTAATTCTTAATTAGATTTGAAGTGCGCGATTTAGCTGGTTTCGAATATTGGGTGAAATTTTTTTAAAAAAAGGATTCCCTACTAATAAGGGCTTCGGACACCGAGTAGGAAATAAAAAAAGGACAAATGACAGAAATCACATACTTTTAAGGTAATTTTACCATTTGTTCCTTATAAGTTTATAATTACAGAAATTCCTCAAACTGATACAATAATGTAAGCTTTGATACATTTTTTATGCGAGATACATTAATCGTTAAGTAAGATACATTACATTTTTATACATGATACACTAATCTGATATACATATTATACATGATATACTAATTTGATGCGCGAGATGCATTAATTTGATGCGTTGATATATTAATTTGATGCATGAAAATGAGAGATTTTGAGAATTTATAAAACTAATGGGGGGTAATGATAAGAAGAGAATTTAAATGTGAGATTTCTGTCATTTTTCCATGAAAAAAAACATTTCCTACTAATAAATGCGGTGTGAATAATCATTTCACCTTTAAATTATTGATAGATTTAAAAACATATTTTTATTTAACTAGCTGAACTTATATATACTCTCGATCTTGCAACATGCATCAAATATATACTTAAATTTTCATCAAATTTAGAATTATTTTCAATGTTTTTCTCAATTTTTTATCAAAAATATCATGCTATCATAAGAATATGAGACCACTTGTTATGTCATATGTCGTAATTTAAGAATGTGTCTAAGTTAATCTTTTATACTACTCTCTAATAAATCTTCAAAATTTGTATTTAAGAATAAATGAATCACAAGTTGAGAAATAAGTTGAAGGAATTACGTGTGAATAAAAGATTGGTTTGATGAATTCCCATTAGCTTAGGCAACTAAACCATGGCCACCCAAATAGTAAAGCATAGGTCCACACATGATAAATTCATAGACAGGTGTACATGTTCCCTAATCAGTCTTGTCTCATTTAAGTTCCACCACCTACATCTTCTTCTCACCAACTTTGGTTACATCACATTTATTAAATCTTAAGTCTCACAAAACTATCATTATTTGCTAAAAATTATTTCACTAATATATATAATTGCCTTACTATTATACCCACCACTACTCATGAGTAAAAACATAATTATTGTATTAAGATTTTGGTTCTGGTTAGTCAAATAATGAATCATATATAGTGTCTTTTTATCTTTTTAAGAGAAGTGTAAAGTAACTTTTTTTAAATTTAGTTTATTTTATAGTAATAAAAAGATTTAATGATATGATGAACAATCTTTGTGAACAGAAGTTGTCGCTTTATTGAAAAAAGGAGTTTGTCACATGCTGCTGTATAGCAATGGACAAGCAATTCATATTTTCCAATGTATATCATCAGAATTAGTGTTATTGGGGGATGCTTCTTGGAATATGAAACATAAAACAGTATGTATTCGAATTTGAAACATATTAAAGCAAAAACAAAATTAATAGTAAGATATTTTTAAGTAATTTTTTATTTATCAATATTAACCTTAATAATTTGCAATTTATCAAATAAGAAAATGAGTTCTCTTCTCTGACAATTTGGCATGATACGGTGAAACAAATAGGTCAGTTGAAATAAAAATATAATAAAAAATTACATTAATAAAATTATATGTAGTATAAAGACTGCAATTACACGTTGTAGCTAAAATATAATATGAAATTATGATTTGAAGTAGAGTTATTTTGAAGTGTGAAGTATGAAGTGCATATAGTGTAGTGTAGAGTTCAATTATTGTACTAATATTTATGAAGGGTAAAGTAATAAATTACCATCATCTTAATAAATTATTGATTTATTCAATAACCCAACAATAAAAATTGAAAGTAAACTAATAACCAATACTTCTTTTTTAATAAAATCATTAAAAGCCCATTGATCAATAATCCAATAACGTTTTTCAAGTTTGATTTATGAAAAAATGACAGAAATCTTACTTTTAAGTTCTCTTATTATCATTATTCCCCTATTAGTTTTATAAATTATCAAAATTCCTCATTTTTGCGCATCAGATTAATGTATCTCACCCATCAAATTAATGTATCTCGCACATCATTAGGAGGTTTTAACCAAACTAAGCCATTATATAAAGTCATTCACCAAAATAATATGTTTTTCTAAAATTTTACAAAACTAGTATAAACGTATTCCACAGTAACGTTTTAGGATATATTTTATTTTTTAAAAGTTGATGGCGTCAGATTGATATACGTTACTCATAGTAACGTTTTAGGAGTAAAACGTTACTGAAAATAACATTTTAGGAGTAAAATGTTACTTACAGTAACGTATATCAACCTAATGTTGTTAGTTTTTTTATAAAAAAATTTATCCTAAAACGTTACCGTGAAATAGGTTTATACTAATTTTATAAAATTTTAGAAAAATGTATTACTTTGGTAAATTATTTTATATAATGGCTTAGTTTGATTAAAAATTCATCATATTAGTGTATCAGGTGTAAAATGTACATGAAATTAGTGTATCGTGTATAAAATGTAATATATCTTACTTAACGATTAATGTATCTCGCGCATCAAATTAATGTATCAGTGTTTATATTATTATATTAGTTTGACAGATTTATGTAATTATAAACTTATAAGGAACAAATGATAAATTTACCTTAAAAATTTGTGATTTCTGTCATTTGTCCATTTATTGACTGATTCAATTTTTACAAAACATTGTTTTATGGAGTTAATATTAATACGATCACAATAAAATAGTGCTGTCTTGAATTTAATAAATTTATAGAATGATAGTGAAATACTCCCTTTGTTCCTTTTTACTTATTCGATTTTGACTTTTTGACTTTTGACTTATTTATTTTTGATAAATCAAGAAAAGACAATATTTTTTAATTACTATACCTTTAATTTATTTAGAGAGATAATATTTTTGAAAAAGGTAAAACATCTTTAATGGGTAAATTAATTTCGAAATTCTATCAATTAATTTGTGTAAAATAATAAACTTACTATGTCAATTAATATTTTCTTAATAGGCGTATGCATGTCAAGTCAAAAATGAACAAGTAAATAGAGACAAAAAGAGTATTATCGACTATTTCCCATGCTCGAAATTTAGATAGACTTGGAAAAGCAAAATTTATCTTTTCTTAAATAAATAACAATAATTTTTGCATAATTCAAAGATTTTAACCGTTTGAGAGATTTTGCAATATTTCATAATAAAATAATAAATATAACAAAATGAGAATGAAAAAGTTAAGGACTCGTAATATGAGTTCATATCAACCTTTAGGACAAGATAAATAATTACATAAATAAAATACTATAATTATTTAAAATTATTTTTTCTATTAATCATTGTTTGTTACTCTATAGTCTAGCCGATCTTAATAGCATGGTTGTGACTTGTGAATTGTGATGATAAAACTTGAAATAGAAATATTTAAAAAGGCACAATCAGAAATTTATATAGTTATAAAATTAACTTTTTACCCTAAATTAAGGTCCTTTTTTTTGTTGTTGTTAGGTTCATACACGTCATAAATAAAGCAAAACGAAAGTTGTTTCTTTTTTTTTGCATCACGTTGTTGTTTCTTTATTACAATTGACAACAAAAAATTATTAGTAGATCGAGTGACCATATTTTTATAGATGAAAACAACCCAAAAGTACAATACATTGAGATTATTGTTCATGAGTATTCATCATATAAACATAGCTAGAGACATTATTCATTAGTATAATTGTTATGTCCACTTCAGTATCCTTCACTTTTGGAAAAAGGTGAAGTATATATGTTGT